AAACATTTATTAGATGAATAGGCTCCATTCTTATCAATTATGCTTTTCCATCTTACTATCAGATTGTTAATGTCCTGATTAAAGAAATCATTTGGTTATGAAGCAAAAAACATGTCGATGTCCTTTTTAACACCTTCCACATTTGCATACATTTTCTCATTAAGATGGTGTTGCAGTGAACAAAAAAGATGATAATCTGATGGTGCCATATCTGAAGAATATGGTGTGTGTGTGGGAGAACTTCCCAACCCAACTCCATAATGTTGGGTTGCGTCAAACGTAAAAAGCATGAAAAGCATTTCTGATGAAGGACTTGATTTAAACATTCCAGTTTCTGACTGTAGATCTCTGCATTGACAGTTCGCTGTGGATTGAGGAGTTCGAAATGAGTTACTCCTTTAATGTCTCATCAAATGGAAAGCATCACTTTCTGCAAATGGAGTGGTTTTTGTTTTTGGCATTAAGTATTTCCATAGAGAATCCATTTTTCATCACCGGTGACAATTCTGTCCAAAAATGTTTCATGCGCATTACGCGCCAAAAGAGACGAAGCAATGTTCACACGTTGGAAACGATGATCATTGGAGAATTCGTGAGGCACCCAAACACCTTCTTTAAAGAGTTTTCCCATATTCCTTAGATGTTTATGTATTGTTTCATGAGAGACATGCAATTTCAGGGTCATTTCACCAGTGTGTTGCCTTGGGCTAGACTCAACAAGCATCTTCAGAGCATCAATATCAATTCCAACTTGTTGACCCCTGCCATCACAGTTTTTAAGGCTAAAGTCACCTAAACAAAATTTGCTGAGCCATCGTTGACATTTACGAACATTCAAAACATTTCCATAAACTTCTTTGATATTCTTTGTACCTGATGATGACAAAACCTTGTCAAAACGTTGTACAATTGCTGTTATGTTAAACTTATATTAAAGTTTTTCTTCATTACCCATTTAAGCGTCTCCAACCATTATTAAACTGAAACTAAGTGGAGTTTGAACCCATGTCTCAAATTTCTTGGGTAGATGCTTCAGCCATTGAACTTATTGATGATTGAACGCTCGCATCAATCCCTATTTTTATTGATTTGTTAGGAAATATTTTTACAGGATTCTTAATCTATTCAGTTAGCATTTTCTATTAAACCCACAAATCCTAAACTTATTTAAGTGATGAACAATTCAGAACTTTTTCAATGGTCCCTATTATCCAGCACTTGTTGCTCATGTATATAAAGATCAGTGACTTCAAAACAATGTATAAAACTGCAAGGAAACATCTTGAAAATTTCCTGAGATGTTTCAAATGAACAGTTCTTTTCTCAGCATTGAACTTGTCCCTTTAACACTAATGGGTGCAGTATTTTCAGAAGAAAGATGAATAACCTAGTGCAGCCATGGATCAAAGGAAGTATTATAGGAGAAAAATGAAATTGGACTCGTGTAACTCACGAGCGTGACCTCTGACTGACCCACCAATATTTGGCTTTTATGATTATGATTGGGACGACTTTTATAATTTTCATGATAATGTGATTAAACGACAGTAAGAAGATTATAATTTAAAACAAGGAACTTAAATATATTGAAAATTGTTATTTAAATTAAACATTGGGCTAACTAATGAGATACACTAGTTCCTTGATTATATGCTATTTCTGTTATCCACGATATTTTGCTTTCATGTGACCACCAAGGTACCAGTGTATATTTATTTACTTTCACAGCAACTAGTGCATGTTAACAATCACATGATAGTATTGCCTGAATTTAACTGCCTTTGGTCCTGTATGAGTCTAAACACTTGCACTGATTGGTTGAATTGAGAGAAAGAAGAAAAACAAAATGGCACAAAATTAATAACATGTTTTGTAACCTCAGTGCTTCATTCCTGAAAAAAACATGAAGTGCTGAATCCACCATTAAAATCCTAGGAACACAGTTTGATTTAGGACTCAAGGAAGGCAAAAATAGTTCTGGACTTCCAAGAGTCCAGAACTGTTCTAGACTCGAGTTGTATTTAGCACAGCCCTACGCACAAATAAAATGGAAAAAATAGTAGGTGCCACAATGAAATTTTAAGTCGCCATAATGACTTGGCGCCCAGGATTTGTCGAGACCATTTGAACTGGTTTTGTTAACTAAAATTGTATGATTACTTTAAAAATCAGTGGAATACAAATTTTATTTAGATTATATTACCGTATTTTTTTCAGAACTCGCTTCATAAGATATTGTATCAGCCATTATAGGAAAAGGGCAATAATAATAAAGTAAATTATCAGTTTGAAGTTTGGTAGTTCATTTCATTTAAGGCAGTTAACCATTACTACTACTAGCCCTAAATACAGACTGATAAACTCCAGATGTTTGAATAAAAAAGGCAGAATATAAATCTATTTTGGGAATAGGTATCACTTTACTTTTTCTTATTATACCATATAATACTGCTCATATAATGTTTCTTTTTTTTAGTTCTTAAAAACAACAGGATAATTTTTCATAAGTGAGAATTTTTCTTGGATAGACCATGAACCCAGACCCCTATAAAGGACTTTGGGGAGGTTCTCATTGTCGAGATTCACCAGTTCAAACACAGCGACAATGTAGCTGTGAAACTAACCAGTGCCAAGCTACTAACCAATATATAGAACAACTACAAGAAATATTCAAATATTCACTGCCAAAAAAGAGAATTGCAGCTTTCTTTGCTGAAAGTATTCAGGTATGTTGTTTTTTATTATAATTTCTTATTCAAAGACTACTTTTGAAATAAGTAATTCTTATTTTATAATATTTGATATCAATGATATATTAAAGTATATCCACTAAAAAGTCGATACATAACCAGTTGCATCAAAATCATGCTTGAGATATTCAAACATGAAGTTAAATTTGTTTTATTTTCCACACAGATTTCTCTTTTTTTATGTATATAAATAAATAAACAGATAGATATGCATGTATCTTTTTTAATGCAG